CCCCCCGAAAAAAAAAAAAAAACAGAAGAGGCCCGCGACAATAGAACCATCAACATTCCCAAAACTGTACGAGGAAAGAAACAGCAACCGCGCTAGTGTACGCCCGCGCAGCATAGAGCTGTAAAAGACACACAGCTCCACAAGGCATTCACAGAGAGAGAGAGAGAGAGGCGCATAAAGAGAGAGATCGGCAGCGCGGCGCTGTAAAGGGTACAGCAAAGCGTCAGGGAAAAGGGAGTCAAAAAAAAAAAAAAAAAAAAAGGGAGTCAGGCCCTGAAGGTCCCCCGTAAGAATCTGCAAGGATCGTATGCCCTTTAAAAGCGCGAGGTTGGGAAGAGAGAGAGAGAGAGAGAGAGAGAGAGAGAGAGAGAGACGCATTGGGGATGAAGAACTGACGAGAGCGATGGGCAGCGCGGGGCTGTTGAAGGGTAAAGCAAAACGTCAGGGAGAAGGGAGTCGGGCCCTGCAGGTCCCCGGTGACAACCTGCAAGGATCGTATGCCGCTTAAAAGCGCGAGGTCGGGGTATCTTATCCTGAAAAAGGAACGCCCAGAGGGCTGCCGACAGTGGCTGACAGACCGCCACTGGAAGCAGTAGAGAGAGACGGACAGGATTGTACGAAGGCCTGAAAACAGCGACGACAGAGTCGACGATGATAATCACTATAATACTAGTAATGATTATAACGACGAGGAGATCACTATGGTCATTACTATGATAATGGTATTGATGATCATCCATCAATCATCCCGTGTCGACCATGATTATAAAGATCATCAAGGTCGACATGAGATGATTGGTGGAGCGGCACAGAAGGCGCACATGTCCACTTTGCCGGAGCATGATGGCCGACAAAGTGGATGGGATGTGGGCAAGGCTACGATTATAATAATGATAATGATGATGAAATCATGATGGTCCACATGGGATGACGTCGCGGGCTCTGCCTGTTTAGATATATGTGTCTCGTCTGTCTTGTGTGGACTCACTAAAGTCAGGCCTTCGGCTTCTTCGCCCATTTCGTTGAGATTGCCTGGAAGCCCACGGGTGAGACTGGTCACTTGATCCAGTGAAACCCCGCCCGCCACCAAATAGGCGACGGTTGGGATGCCAACGAAAAAGGAGAGAGATGCCAACGAAAAAGGAGAGAGGGAAAAAAAAAAAAAAAAGGAGAGCTGGGAGAGCAGAAGCCGCACATGATCACTTTGTCGTAGCCGCAACAAAACTGCAAAAGAGGCTACTGAAAAAGGCCTCAACGAGTTCCTTTTCACTGTTTTCTCTTCTCTCCAATACCACTTGGCGTACACTCAACGAGAGGGGGGAGGGAGAACGGGGGAAGGGAGAGAGGGCGGAACGCGGGGCATTCTATCTTCTCAATCCCGAAATCGTAATAACTCCTTGAAAATAAATCGGAAAAAAAAAAACAGAAGAGCGAGAGCAACACAGAGAGAGCAACATGTACCAGATAGCCTACACTCAGGGTAAGGGGGAAGCGGGGGAAGCGAGGGGCGAGAAACAGGGGGGGAGGGGGGAGAGTTCTAGTTTCTCATCTCCGATCCCGTACAAACTCCTTGAAATTTTAAAAGAAAAAAAAAAAAGAACGATATCAACACAGAGTAATATAAATGTGCTCCCGCCCGCAGCGGTAAGCTTCGTTCAGAGGAGATTTTAAAACAATAACAAAAACGACCCATCACATTACTTGGGAAGCTATTCACTTTTTTCAGTGCATGGGTCGACATTTTCCTCTTTCGAATTTTGTCCTCCTCTCTTTCCCCTCTTTCGAAAACGCACCTCTATTCGCCTCCAAAACTGTCTCGTGCCCCCCGGGCAAAAAAAACTAATAAAGAAAAACGGAGATGGAATGACACCCACCCACCCACCATCCTTCCTCCTCGCCAGAGAGTAAGTGAAGTGTACTCATGGTCCTTTCTCTCCCCCGCTAATAAAAAATCCGCTCTTCCCACAACTGCACGATACTCTAGCGGCGCATAGGGAAAAACAGAAAAAAAAAAAAAAAAAAAAAAAAGGGGGAACGACCAATTACTGCCCAGTCCTAAAGAGACCCTGTGCAACCGACACTCCCTGCTCGCCCCCCTTCCTTGGCCTATAGCTGACTTCCCCTCCCCCTTAGTCCCACCGTAATCTCCTTATCCACCCCCCCCGTCTACCATTTTCTTGCACCTGCAGCTTGACGTCAACACCCACTGCCTCTGCAACACTCTTGAACCCATCTCTCTCGAGACAGGCAGCTAGCTCTTGCTTGATCTTGGGAACCACCGACGGACCTTCATACACCAATGCGGTGTACAATTGGACCAGAGAGGCGCCGGAACGGATTTTCAGGTAGGCATCCTCCCCGCTGCTGACCCCCCCACAACCGACGATGGGGATTCTGCCTTTGGTCAAGATGTACATCTCCCTCAGGGCTGCGTTAGACAGCTCGAAAAGGGGTTTGCCGCTGAGGCCGCCGGGTCGATCGCCGTTCGGCAGACCGAGTACGGACGCAGGTCGGGACACAGTCGTGTTGCTGATGATGAGCCCATCAACGCGTAGAGAGAGAGCGACGGCGGCAATGTCCTCCATGTACTGGCGGGACAAGTCCGGAGAGAGCTTGACGAGGACAGGTGGCGGGCCCTCGTCGCCCCATTGCATCTCGCTGCGCGCCGCCATAACACTCTTGATGAGCTCCTGGAGATGGCGGCGTCCTTGGAGACTCCGAAGACCGGGAGTATTTGGAGACGAGACATTGATTACCAGGTAGTCAGCGTACTGGGACAGAGTGTGCACGCCTTGAACGAAATCCGACACCGCATCTTCGGTCGACTTGTTCTTGCCCAAATTCACACCAATCAGACCCGTCTCGATCCCGTGCCGTCGGAGAGTGTGCAGATCCCCGCCGCTTTCTCCACTAGCTGCTCCTCCTACGGCTTGACCACCACCACCTTCTACTTCGTCGTCATCGTCTTCCTCGTTTCCTACCTTCTTCCTCGCTCGCTGCATGCCCAACCTTCTAGCTATGGCGACGATTCCTTCGTTGTTGAAGCCATAGCTATTGATGAGTGCTTTCTGCTCCGGTAGTCGGAAGACCCTTGGGCTCGGATTGCCATCTTGGGCAAGGGGAGTGACAGACCCGATTTCGATAAAACCGAAACCCATGCCCAGAAATCCGTCGATGGCTTCGGCGTTCTTGTCGAATCCCGCCGCCAATCCAACAGGATTGAGGAATCGTCTTCCCCACAAATCGACCCTCAGCGACGGCGGATCCGCGCGGAACTCGCGGGGAACCAAGTTGTACTTGGCTGCCGTGACGGCGAACCTGTGCGCGGTTTCCGGCGGAAGGAGCCGAACGAGCGGAGTCGCCCACGTCGCACCCTGAAATATCCAGTCACTGTAAGTGGCGGGGTCCCTAGTGCTTACGTACGCGCCGCCGCCAATAACGGAGCCCATGATGGTTCCCGCCAGAATGCGCTTCCAAGTAAGACGGGCCCGCAGTGGCGGCGGAGGCAAACGAGCGGGCGGCTTCGCGGCGCGAGATGGAGGAGCGGCGCCCGCAGCCGCCTCATTGTCCGCCGCCCCTCGCCGAGCTTCTGTTGCCCCTCCCCGCGCTGCTGGCCCCGCCATTTCCGCCGAAGTCGACTTGGCTCCCGCCATGGACTGCGCCTCCGAATCCGCCACTGACGACGACGATGGCGGTGGACACGACGCCAGCTCCGCCGCCGATGATGGCGCCGCCGACGCCCTTCCGCCCGATGCCGCCTCCATTTGCCAAACGCTACGTGTCCTGGCCAGCAACGTGAAGCGTCGGCACGCCCTCGGCGTCGAGAGTAGCCGAATCAGCACCGCCCCTCCCCGCAACCGTGGCCCTAGTCCCGATCCCGACCGCCATAGCGACGACGACGACGTGACGCAATTCATAATCTCTAATGTCCGATCTGATCTGATGAAAGGGTGGGAACCAGAGCGCATCCAGCTCAGCTAGGGCGTCACAAAGACAACGTACCCGGTCGTCAATTGTCAGTCAAGGGAGGAACACACACTTCAGCCACCTGCTACCGCTGCTGCGGCTGATCTTCCTATAGATAGAAGAACTACTTTCCACCAATCGATCGGCCAGCCCACCGAGCCAGCGATATAGATCGGCGGCCAACCGCCGGTTGAACGTCGTCGTTCGATTCAGATGATGATAGAATCGTAACAGCGTGGCTGAGGCTCAACAATGATGACGGCAAGGCTTTGCATCCGCATCCCCCACAAGATCTCTTCCTCCTCCTAAGGCCGCACTCATGATCGCCTGCCCTCATTGAGGAGAATCACCCCCCCCTTCTCTCTCTCTCTCTCTCTCTCTCTCTCTCTCTCTCTCTCTCTCTCTCTCTCTCTCTCTCTCTC